CCGACCGCTGTTGCGCGCAGAAGTAGATGGTGTCGTTTGCCCGCCCTAAAACCCTGCGCAGCGACACCAGCCCGTTTTGATCTACAGGGCAGCAGGGCCGCTCTGTGGCCATCACCTGGGCTGCTGCTGCCTGCACCCGGGCCCAGCCGCGCTGCTGATACGGGCTGCTACTACAGCTCCTATGCCCTTGTGGCCATCAGGTGGGCCCGTGTGAGCGGGGCACCAACCTGGCCCTTTCCCTGGTGTCTATGCGTTTCGACACGGCTGGTTGCTTGCCGTGAAAGCCTCCGCAGCAGCGACCAACCCTCCTTGCCCCCTTTACAGCCATTACAAGCAACAGAGAAGATATGAATTGCATCTTGCATGTTGAACATGAAGCCTATGAGCGAAACGGCTTCAACCTTTGGACGTCTCGCACACCAACACCAACGGAAGGTCTCGAGACGCGAAACTTCCCACGACTGGAGGTCAGGTCATGGGCCAGCGAACCACGTACTAAAACAGGAGATGCCTGTTCCTGCAAAAAGGGGGTCGGCGGCACCCGGGCGTCAGCCCATGCGATATATATATATATATATATATAATATATATATATAATATATAGGTCTCTGCCTTTATCCCCACCTGCCCTTGAAGCTCTCCAACTTCCCACCATCTCCCACAAGTCAGACCGGCCTCCATGGCTCGGAAATGTCGAAGATAGAGCTCTTCCACCTGCGGAGGCTGTTTCTGACACACGTCACCCGGTGAATCCTCCTTCACACCGAACGGTGAAGCACTCGCCACCGCCGTGCGTCTGTCCCAACCGCTGAAGCTGAAGCCGAACCGGACCGGTCGGACGCCAGGTGGGACCACGGGCGCGCAGAACGACGGCGTGACAGCCGGACACTCGAACGAGCTTGGTACATTCGGCAAGTCCTCGAACAATGGGCACTCCTGGAGCGTCGCTGGTAGGTCCCTGCAAGTATACTTTCTCCCCAATCATGACGACAAGGTCCTCTGACCTTGCTGTTTTCTGGGGGTACGGCATTCAGTCTCCTACGAACACCCAAAACACCGATTCTTCCATGGTTGTTTCACACATCTTCCATGACTTGTCTTTGTTGTGGGCGCCAAATTTTGCTCAAGAGATGTAGATTTTCCAATCTAACTCTTCAAGAAAATCTCCAAAACACCTCAGCACCTCCATCTAACATGGAAAAAACATGATTAAAGTTGATTGCGAAAGCATTCCAAACTGGCCCATTCCACGTTGAAAATCCCTCACATCCTCTCACCTGTTTCGCTTCGACTTCTTCGATTTCTTCACTTTCCAACTGACCCCCGCTGCACCCCCGGACTCCCCGGACCCGCAGCCACACCACGCTTCGACGCCACGCGCCTCGGCCAGGTGGCTGCCCTTGGCCTCCAAAAGGTCGGCGAGATGAAAGACGGAGCTCAAGGTGTCGGGATGCAGGGCCCCAAGTTGAGCTTCGCGTCCTGCTAGGGCTCTTCTGTAAAGCACCTCGGCATCCTGGAGTTTCCCCTGCTTCTTGAGCAACGCTGCAAGATTGTTGACGGAGGTCAATGTGCTTGGATGATGGGCTCCGAGTTGCGTCTCGAATCCTCCTAAAGCTCTCCTGCAAAGCGGTTCAGCCTCTTCTAACTTGCCCTGCTTCTCCAGCAAAACCGAGCTGCGTCTCACGCCCCTCTAGAGCCCTTCTGAAAAGCGGCTCAGCCTCTCCGAGCTTACCCTGGTTCTGCAGCAACAACCCAAGGTTGTTGGCTAACGTCAAGGTTTCAGGATGCATGGCTCCAAGTTGAGCCTCAAATCCTTCCAAAGCTCTCCGATAAAGCGGCTCAGCCTCTTCCAGTCTTCCCTGATTCTCCAGCAACGCCGCAAGATTGTTGACAGAAGTCAAGGTGTCTGGACGCATTGCCCCGAGCGGCACCTCACGTCCTTCTAGAGCTCTTCTGAAAAGCGGTTCAGCTTCCTCAAGCTTGCCCTGCTTCTCCAGCAACACTGCCAGGTTGTTCACAAAGGTCAGTGTTTCAGGATGCATTGCCCCAAGCTGCCTCTCACATCCATCTAAGGCTCTCCAAAAAAGCACTTCAGCCTCTTTCAGCTTCCCACAGTTCTTCAGCAACACTGCAAGGTTGTTGATTGATCTGAGGGTGTCAGGGTGCATGGTCCCAAGTTGCGTCTCACGCCCTTCTAAAGCTCTCCTGAAAAGTACCTCAGCGTCTCCTAGCTCTCCCTGCTGCCACAAGACCAACCCGAGCATGTTCACCGACTTCAGGGTCTCCGCATGCCTCCATCCCAGCAAAGCTTCACATCCCATCAACGCCTTTCTGGACCACATCTCGGCCTCCGTCAGCTTGCCTGCGTCCTTCAACGTCTCCGCCAGAGCATGCATCGCCGTCAGGGCCTCCACGGCCTCCTCGGCCTCCTCGCCTCGACGCGTGAGACGCGTCGCGGGGGTCGCGTGGCTCGCGAGGATGCGCCGCTGCAGCCGCTCCGACTCCGCCAGGCACCCGCGCCACGCGAGCACGGTCGCCAGCCTGAGGAGGGGGTCGGGTCGTGGACCCGGACTGCGAAAGGATCTGGTGTCTTCAAGGGAAGTTCACAAAGTGAAGTCTGTTGCGGTCTGGAGGTTTTGATTCTTGTATCTTGAGTGGACTTTTGTTGAATGCTTTGAGACGAATTCTGAAATGGGAAATGGAAATCATAACATTACAGACCATGGAATGTCATGGAAAATGCCCATCCAACTCTGTTGGATGAAATGAGTAGAAATCCACAAATTATTTGGTTTGCTTTTAGTTCCAAAAGTCCATTGTCCATTACATTACATATGGTCTGGTGGGTGAAAAGACCGAGGGCCCAGCCGGCTCAACACCTTCAGCGTTTCAGAATGCTCTGATCCCAGTCTCTCTTCGATAGCTTTGGCGCGGCAGCGCAGCCTTGGCCACACAGCTTCCATCCTCTTCTCCCACGTGTATGGATTGAGAATCCATCCATTTGGGACAAAATCGGGTGCTACTGCTAAGAAAACTTCGGTGTGGCACCACGCGTTTTAAGGTTTCAGCATCTGGCTGCGGCCAGGTCCGGACGCGGGCGGAACTGGCCAGTTCGTACAATCAAGAGAACAACATCATGGACAGAATCCGCAAGAGAATCCGCTGGTTCCTTGTTCCACAACAGTGTGCTTGCGTGTTGCCGTTGCTATACCTGCTTGTCACCTTTTTTCTGGCAGTACATGCACCTAGGAAACATACAAATGTCTGTAGATGATGTACCACGTACCTGTTAAAGCAAAGGCCAAACATCAAGTATTTACTGCTGAGCTGCCTGATGATGGAACATACCAGCAGTAATCATTTGCGCATAGAAACACACAGCTCTCAAGGGCCGTAGGCCATTTTGAAGTACACTTTCACTTTTAAGGAGTGCCTTGAAAGCTTTTGGCCCAGTCCTTTCCAGTAGTGAAGCTGAGCCGGCAGATAGCTGGGAGTCCCTTTTTTTTTCCACGGTGTGATTAGCGCCATGAGAATGGATCGGCTCGGTGCCGATTCTGAAGCTCCTGGTGTCTTCAGGTTCCTCCGCCCCGTGGACAAGGGGGCTGTCCTTGTGCGGTGTTTGGCTTCCGGGGAGTCCGTTCTCCTCTTGTGTGATGCTGCACTTCCGGTTCAGTTTACATCTTATCACCCTCGGCTGGTTGCTTCGGATCCACTCACGTTGGCCATTGAACCATCCGATATTTTTGAGGCTCTTTGCGATACGGAGCGCTTCTTGGAGAATGTGTTGGACTTGTGTGCCGGGACCGGGGCTATGGGGTTTGCTACCAGCTTCCTTGGCACCTCTTCTACCTGTTTCTGTGATTTGAATCCATTAGCCTCGAAACATCTTCGTGAGAGTTCTCAGCTGCCTGTGTTTGAGGGTGATGTGGGAGATGTTGTGCTGATTGAGGACATGCACAAGACCCTTAGGACCACTGGACAGAGCTTTACGGTGCTTGCAGGCTTTCCATGCCAACCTTTTAGTCAGCAAGGACTTCAATTGCACTTCCATGACAAGAGAGCCTTGGCTTTTCGGAAGCTCCTTGATTGTTTGCTTCTTCTCCAGCCTCAAGCTGCTCTTCTGGAATGTGTTCCGGCGGTGCTTGAGGATGAGTTCATTCAATCTGAGCTGGCGCATCTTGCCTCTTTGATGGGATGGCGGGTTGACCAAACGATCTTGCACCTACATCATCAATGGCCGATGCGCAGATCTCGTTGGTACTGCCCTCTGAGGCCAGCCGCTTGGGGAGGGTTTCCGCTGCGCCCATGGCCTCTTTGTGAACCTACCCCCAAAGTTTCTGATGTTCTCCCTTCTTGCATGGGGTTGTTGGGATGATGCCACAGTTAGCGACCTGCAACTGCCGGTTGATGAGCTTCAACACTACATGGATAAGAGCCTTGGCACTGACAAGAGATTGCTTGAGAGTCATGACATCTGTCCCGTCGTCCTTCACGCCTATGGCTGCCAATTCGATCCATGTCCTTGTGGATGCCGCTCGGCTGCGTTTAATGAGGCAACCTTGCGGCAGAAGGGACTTCGAGCATTCTTTGTGGTGGATAATGACTCCAATGTGACTCGGCTGCTTCATCCGGTGGAGCTCGGTGCCTTGATGAGTTTGCCTCCACAGTTCAAGATCTTTGCGCCGGTCCGGGGGGGCTCTATGCCTTTTGAGAAATGCTGCTGCTCCGCTGCAAGTTCTCTGGACATTTGCCACACTTGTGGCAGGGGCAGGACAACACATTGATAGGTTGCCATTCATCCATCCGCTTGAAGTGATCAACAAGTATGGCCACTTTGTGAAGGAATCATGTCGATTGAAGATCCCCTCCCCATTGTCTGCTCCTTTGCAGAAGCTCGACATCAAGGCCGAGCATGGCTCCAGCTTGTCACTGTTTGCCGCTACGGCTACCACGATTGGAAGCTTTCTGCAAGCAGAACGAATCACTCTGGATTGGGGCTACACACAGATGGTGCGTGCAGGTGACTTCTTACTCTCGGCAGGCGATGATCTTGTGAGCATGGCTTCGCAAGCTGACCTTCAACTTGATCGTATGCCAAAGAGACGTCGCACCGATACTCCGCAGGGTCTACTCATGGTTGGATTGCAGCATGGCACAGGTCCTGACGCTCAGTTCTTCATTTCCTGCGTGACGGCTGGCACGTTCATATTTGATTGTTTGAGGGAGCATGGATTCTATTTGGAGCGTTTTGTGGTTGACGACGATGGTCGCCTTTTTGGTGGTGACCATCGCCTTTGGGCTTCTGGACGGTTCACCATCCTGGCCAATGATTGCTTTCCTTCATTAGCTCTTGACTTGGGTGGCTTGGGTCCTCTGACTGGCCAGCCCCCCCTTCATTGGAGGACCTGGTGGCGTTGATGGTGGCTTGGGGTCCCACATCATTGACAAGGTCTTGGGTGATTGGATTTCACAAATCTATGCCTCAGGCCCTTGTCCTTGGCGCATTGATGCTCTTTGGATGAATATTGACATGACCCTTCGATCTTTCCTGACGGTGGTCCCTGATCATACTGGTGAGATTTTCGCGCCTTTGGCCTTTCGTGACCATTGGGCCTTGCTATACGGCTGTGAAGGTCCGGAAGGTTGGGACTGGTTCTACTTTGATGGCATTGCTGACTTCATGCCCGAAGCCATGACTCTGTTGGCTCGCAGGCTTGCTGGCCTCTTGAAGGTCGACTTCTTGGGCGTTCGACGTCGCCGCTTGGTGCATCAAGATGACAGCTATTCTTGTGGCACGATTGCGCTTGCTCACGCAGCTACCTTGTTAGGCCTGCTTGGCTCATTTGACCCCATGCACATTCAGCTGATTCATGCCTGGCTCCTCGAGCATCTCTTCTGTCCTGGTGATCTGACGGCCAGGGGACCGGATGTGGTTGCAAGGTGAGCTGGCCCAACTTTTGGCTACAAAAGGTGTTCCGAGCGCCACTTCGGGGAGATGCTATTGCTGCATTGGGATCCGACAAGCTTGCTGCTGCCCTGAAGACCAAGAACCCGTGGCAAGCACTCAAGAGCGTAGCCAATCAAGGCAAACATCAGTTCAAATTTGTGTTGTCATGGGAGCTGCAAGAGCACATTGCGCAGAGAGCCAAGGAAAAGTACGGGGCTCATGTACCACGAGATCGCAAGAAAGATAGGAAGGTGGAGGATTTGCCAGCTGTGCCTGACCCTAGCCATCTTCGACTACATGGAGACCCTTTCAAGGATTCAGATGGTGATTCATTGCCCCAGATTGCTTTTCAGGATGTCTTCAATGATGCTCGGGGAGTTGCCCTATGCACCAAGGCTGAAGCAATTCCTTTCATTCAGCAGGCCAAAACCATTTCGGCCATGGCTCTTGCTCTCCTCATTGTGGAAGAGGTCCCGGCCAATGAGAGGGGTGTTGCGAAGATTGGAGACATCAGATTTCCTGCGACATACACCGCTACTGGTGATCCGGTACTCATATGTGGAGCTCTTCTCCAGCTTGGTGACAAATCAGTTGAACGGCATGGCCCTCCTGACCCAATGGCTTCAACCGCATTAGCCAAAACGATGGTCATCAAACTGGCCGCCTACCGGGACGAGCTTCCTTTGGATTGGATGGAGTTCATGAAGGCACCAGTGAAACATGTCCTTTCGATGGTCCCGGCATTGCGGCTCTGCAAGACCGCACCTTGTCCTGATGGAAGCCGCTGTGGATTTTATCATCCCCCTGTTGATGAGCATCCTGACCAAGTTCTTCAAGAAGTATGGGCCCGACGCTATCACTTGTTGGCGGGCTCCTCATGTGAGGCGGCCAAGGCGGACTTGTTCACCGCTTTCCTGCGCACATTGGCTGACGCTGCGCCCGCAGTGCTTCGTGCCAATCATGCTGGACTCTACTTTGAACCCCGAGATGAAGCCACTCGTTCTGCTCATCCGAACTATGCGGTTGTTTGGATTCCACAGGGTGACGCTGATCATGCACAACATTTGCTGCGCACAATGCCTGAAGCTCTCGCCATGACACGGCTCAAATCGCGCTATGGCATCCGGGTACTAGCCAAGTTTGAGCAAACGGTGCATGAAGCGCTGAGACCAAATTCTGATTTTGCGCAGGTGCGCATCACCCATGTGTACCGACTTCATCCACTTCCTCATGGTTTGCAGAGGGCAGCATTGGCCAAGCCTTTGAAGGAGATCAAATGGACTGCCCGACCATTACAGCCCTCACGTGGCACATCTGAAGGAGCTAGCTGGAATGTAGGCGCTTCTACGGAGCCTCCTTCGCCGTCGGTACATGCCTTTGGCCGGGACATTCTCATTACTTTGGTGAAGGAACATTCTGCTGCTCCAACTCCTTCTGGTTTGCTGACGGCATCTCGCCGCACACAGCGGCACATCCAAGCACATGCCACTGGTTCCGCCAAGCCTGATGCAGACCCCTGGCTCACCAATGATCCATGGAGTGCTTACTCTCAGGCCAAGGTGTCACTACCATCATCGAAGCCTGTCACCAAGCATTATGATGAGATGGCTCAGAAGTTGCAGGACTCTGTTCGTGATGAAGTGATCAAGGAGATCAAGAACCTCCCGGTTGCCGCAGATGCATCATCTACGCCTGCTGTGGATCAACGGTTCTCTAAGCTTGAAGCGGGCCTCAAGGAGGTGAGGGCACAAGGCGACCAGTTTCAGAAATGGTTTACACAGGCCAATCAGCGTATGACACAGCAGGAACAGGCCACTCATGCCTTGAAGGGTGCGCTGGAAGGCCAACAACAGGAACTGGGAGTCCTTCGTCAGGACGTCAAGCAGACCGGCATTCAAGTCGAAACCCAGTTGGCATCATTGCGCAATGATCTGGGCTCGCATCTTGATGACAAGATTGACTCAGCCATGCAACGGTTTGAAGCGCTGCTCTCCAA